TGGAGCTCGGCTGTTCTCAGTGGTGGCAGATGGACAGAACAAGAGGCAATGGTCTCAAGTTGCAGTGGGGGAGGTCCAGGTTGGATATTAGGAAAAACTATTACACTAGGAGGGTGGTGAAACACTGGAATGCGTTACCTAGGGAGGTGGTGGAGTCTCCTTCCTTGGAGGATTTTAAGGCCTGGCTTGACAAAGCCCTGGCTGGGATGATTTAGCTGGGAATTGGTCCTGCTTTGAGCAGGGGGTTGGACTAGATGACCTCTTGAGGTCCCTTCCAACTCGTCAATCAAAGACAAATTCAGTAAGGGCTACCTTAAAAAAATCTCAGAAAACTGAAGGTTCTGTTCAGTTAGTAGATCAGCACCTGATATTAAGCATTCCATTTGAGTCCAATGCTATTTGTAAAAAAAGAAAAAAGTCATTGCTATTACTAAGAAAAGGTGAATTATTTTCTTATGTATAGTAATCTAATTCTGAAGCAATATAAAAGGGATAATAGTCATATCAGGTACTGTGTTCTTCATCAGATATTTTGTGTTTGTTTTTTCATGTTCAATTTCTTTTTTAAAACTAAGATTAAAATTTTGAAAAAAAAGAACTCAGGATAACTGTGAAATCCAATATGTTCTGTGATATGTGCTTATCAAACAAGCAAATACAGATAGTTATAAAGGTTTACTAAGCCATATTCTTTTTTCTTTAGACAGTAGCAAGTTCTTGAAGAAAAGCTGCATATAGTTTTGTTCCCTCAATGAAATTGTACCTAAAAGAAAACAGAGCCAACAGTATAATTTCACTGTACACAACATAGGAGTTCTTCAGATATACTCACATACTGTCTCACATGATAATAAGATGATAATAAGATACAAATGATAATAAGATACAAATTTTTAACAGTAAAGACAATCTTCGTACAAACTTATCAAGGAATATGTGATAGATTTTTCCATCACTTTTAATCAAGATTGAATGCTTTTCTAAAAGCTATGCTGAAGTTCAACAATGTGATTGGGCTTGTTGCAGGAATTACTATGTCCTGTGTTACACAGAAGGTCAGACGAGATGATCACTATCGTCCCTTCTGGCCTGAAAATCTATGAATCTTCATGCACACAATGTCATGACTCAGGTAGTCAGATAAATATATTGATGGCTTTGGCTTTAATTTTGATTGCTATTTAAGCTTGAATCATTAGCTGTCATGTCACACAAAATAACTAAGGACCAAGAGAAAATCAAAAATGCCTAAATGACTTAGGAGCGTTGGCCCACATTTTTAAAAGTATTTAGACATTGCTCTGCTCAGTGTTGCAAGGCCAAAGTGACTTAGATGTCTACGTCCTATTTTCAAAAATGACTTGGCACTATAAATCTCATTGAAAGTCAAGAAAATTAGAATTAGGCTCCTAAATCACTTAGGACCAGATGTTTAAAGGTATTTGGGCATCTAAAGACACCTATCTGCATCTATAGGTACCTAAAAAGCAACAAAGGGTCCTGTGGCACCTTATAGACTAACAGATGTATTGGAGCATTTTGTAAGTACCTTTTGAAAATTTTACCCTAAGAACCTCACCCTCCCTGATTGAACTAACCTCGTTATCTCCATACTGATTTATACCTGCCTCTGGAAATTTCCATTACTTGCATCTGAAGAAGTGAGGTTCTTACCCACAAAAGCCTATGCTCCCAATACTTCTGTTAGTCTTAAAGGTGCCACAGGACCCTCTGTTGCTTTTTACCCTAAGAACTTGATCCAAAGTCCTCTGAAGTCGATGGAAAGACTCTTATTGATTTCAGCTGGCTTTGGCTCACGCCCTATCCTGTGAAAATGTATACACGTTTAACTGAAATCATTGGTACTACTCACGTGAATACAATTATTCAAGTAATATGTTTGCAGAACTGAGCCCTAAATTATACCCTTGGCTATAGTCATGGAACTCCTAGGGAAGGTAATGGGAGTCACACACACACAGTGATTTGAGGAAAGAACTTGGCCCTATATTTTACCTCAGCCACTTGAACAGAAGCTGCAGGTTGTGCTCAAATTCCAAATAAGATAGTTACATAAAAATGAAACACTTATTGTTCAGCATCAAGAATAAAACTTGCAGTAGATTCCTTGGAGGTAGATTTTTATTTAATTAAAGTGTGTTCCTCCTTTTTAGCTTCAAATTATTCACTATGTTTACCTTCCAGTAGCTGTATGTATGAAATTCAAGTATTAATTATAGTTTCACTAAAACAAAACATTCACAGGCTATCCCCTCGTGCATCTTTTATCAAACTGCTTCTCATTAGTTAATGCAAGAAATCATGCACAACCAAATGCACTGATATTGTGTTAAAAACTGTGCCAACTTCAGTTAATTTGACTACTGTCAGTCATTAGAACTGCAATACAAGTGTTGAAGTGAATCAAGGACATAGAAAAGTAGGAAAGAAAGCATCCGGGTGAAGGCACACACATTTTAACCAACTTGATTACTTTAAAGGAGCTCTTCAACTTGGATGTTTTCAAATGACTAATTCCTAAAAATCCAAATATGTTTTAGTTCATTATTTGACTACAGTTTTTTGAGAAGGGAAAATAGCAGCATTTGAGGTGAGGAGCCTGCATTTACACCACTTTTTCCAAATAACATCTAGGAGTTCTACATGTACATTTGAAAAAGTGATGTAAATTCAAGGTGGGGGGGCGTTATTTGTCACAGTATTGTATATTTTTTCTTCTGAAATTATATTAACACTTTAAAACTTTTTAAGAAAATGAGTAAAAAATACCTGCTGATCTTTTCATTTTGCCCATGTGGAGCATCGTCAGGTCCTCCTATTCCTAGTAACATTATACTCTTTCTAGTCACCTCCTGAAAATGTGTGGCAATTGGAATTGTTCCACCTGCACGGATCATGTCAGCCTCTTTTCCAAACACTAGGAGTGAAGATAACATAAGCTTTATAAAAAATTAATCTGAATTTCTACAAGCTTAATGAACTATCCTTCCCGCTTTTATATTTGAATAACTAACGGCATTATTTGGATATAAACTTGTTTTCTACATTTTTTGTTGGAGGGGCTGGATTGGGAGACTTATGGGGACTTCTTAAAGATATTTCCTTTTTCCGCTAAAAAAGTTATGATCTGGTGTTGTTAAGCTTGGATTCAAAGTATTAGAATTCACCCACGCCCATACTAGTGTGTTCTGCCTGTGGGCAGTATTCATTAGCTAACTTAAGTTCCCGTTCCTACAAATGACTTTACAATGGAGCCAGGGGCGGCTCTATGTTTTTTGCCGCCCCAAGCACGGCAGTCAGGTGGCCTTCGGTGGCACGCCTGCAGGTGGTCGGATTCGGCGGCGTTTCTGCAGGGGATCTGCCGGTCCCACGGCTTCGGTGTACCTGCCGCCAAAACCGCAGGACTGGCGGACCTCCCGCAGGCACGTCACTGAAGGCCACCTGACTGCTGCCCTCCCAGCGACCGGCAGGCTGCCCCCCACAGCTTGCTGCCCCAGGCATGCGCTTGCTGCGCTGGTGTCTGGAGCCACCCCTGAATGGAGCCTTACACCCACTTGTAGTGCTGAAGCCAATGTTATTCTACACGGGCACAGGGATCTGTCCCCTAGCCACAAATAGTATTCATCTGAAGACAAGTTACAGCGGGAGCTGAAAAACGGTAAGAGCAATGAATGACATATCTGTGTGTAATATATGTGATCATCAGTGTAGTAAAATGTTAACAATGTACATTAATATTGCTTGCAAGTCAATATCAACAAACATATCAACAAACAATAAAAGCTGCTATGTATGAAAGTGCAATTCTATACAAATATGTCAAAATTAGAAAGCATTATGTGGACAATAAGAATATGTGCAGACAGAATAAGGGAAATACCCTGGTTTCATTTCTATGGATAATACTTTCAAAAGGTGACATAGTTGTGTACCAAATAATCCACATATTATAAAACAACCAAACCTCTTTTAATTGCTTTCCTTGCAGCCAAATACTGAGGTTCATTTATGTCAGATAGCCAGGGCTTTGTTCCTATGCTACTGGTTACTTTAATGCTGTTAGGACTGTTCAGTTCAGTGAATTTCTTGTTCAAATAGTCAGTCACCTAAAGAAAATAATTGTAGTGACATGAAAATATTTATTTAATTCAGTACATAGAGAAAAAAATCATCTGTGTGTGCATTTGTTTAAAACTCTGACTTGTCAGAGGCACAACTGCAATGCTCAAAATGTTACAGAAACAAGGTGGGTGAGGTAATATCTTCTACTGGACCAACAAAATAATTTGGTCCAATAAAAGATATTACCTCACCCACCTTGTCTCTCTAATACTCTGGGACCGACACAGCTACAACGACACTGCACATTCAAGATATGAAATAAGAATCCAGCTCAAGAATCTCACTGCTTGGACACATAATGAAAGTGAAATTTTGATAGCGTGGGAAGGGAGTTCCAGCTATGCTGGTTTTTTGTTGCTGTCAACCCTCTACTCCTATACCGGCTGATGCAGAGATCTTCATCTGTTGGTGCTGTCAATGGACCTATTCAGAAGTAAGTGGAGATTGATTAACCTAGGGTTACCATACGTCCGTTTTTTCCCGGACATGTCCGGCTTTTCGGCGACGTCAACCCTCC